GACTTGTATTCCCACTTTGTTCTAAGCTTTACCAGTAGATTCCGCTATAAAATTAAAGAAGGAAATTAAATGGGAAGTAATTTAATTTGAGTTGAAATGTTATTTCCTTATATTAAATTTATTTTGATTTATACCATTAGGCTCTCATGCCAGAGAATCTGTAGGTGGAAAATTCTTTTTGCTGCTTATTGATTATTGGCTTTTTCTAGAAAAAGATACAGTTCTAAGGCTGACGGGAGAGTTGCCGCTTTTAAAAAAGAGACTGACATAGCCAACGGAATAAAATCTACTGCCTGATCTGTTCTTGGTTTTATTAAGCCTGCTTTCAAGCACAAAAGGGTGGTGAGCTATAGAAAGCATATAAAGAGTTTTAATATTTTTTATTTTTCATCGTTTTCTGACAAATTGAATTTTTGTGGTAACCCTATGTTGAGCACATCTACCAGTACCATGTTTCCTACAGTGTGTGCTTGATTCGTATATCTGGGTCACATCTTGGTACTGCTCACATTTCAAACATTTTGATAATGTTACACACCGTATAGTATAAACACAACTTATGCATTCTCCCGGAAACCAAAAACTCTGATTTTTTTTATTGCAATTAATCACTTTCTTAGTGGTACTCTGGACTCAAACTGGTAATGTCTTTGTGGCATGCCTGTATGTTTTATCTTTTTTAATTTTACCAATTTAGCCATAATTCCTGTTAAGGTAATTGTAATCACCTTCAAATGAACAAAGCATATTATGCTTTGGGAATTAAATCTTCCTATTTTATAATTGTAATTAATTAAACTTCAGCCTAATTACCCCACATAGATAAGTTTTTATTTTTCTCCCTTGACTCCAACAATTTTTAAAAAATTCAAATCATGATTATTGAAATCATTGTAGTTCATCTTTTATCTAAGACCAAAATAAGCTTGAAACTAGTTTATATTTATTACTATATTAAAACAGCTATGAAGTATATTTGTGTTTGGTTCCAAGTGTTTTTTTAGTAACATGAAAAATCCTATGTAGTTAAAACTACACTTATAAAAATCTCTGACATCACCAATAAAATACTGCATCATATTTATGTATGCATTGAAGACAGTTACACTGTGTTTCAAACGGTCCCACAGTGCAATTTTATTTTTCTCTTGTATAGGAATAGCATTTTGTTTCTTCAGTTAAGAACCAGTTGGAGTAGCTACTTGCCTTTAAGGCTCATTTCATATCAAAATATACCCAACTCAGTTCTTCAGAATACATAGCTACTATATCGAAGATAGTATAGTCCTTTAAAAAAAACATGGAGTTACCTTCAAACACTAGAGAGACTCAGGATCATTAGATAATTACCCATTGGTTGCCACTTGGTGATGGAAACTCACTGTTGGACCACGGACTGATATGCTACTTCTCACTTCAGGTCCTATCAGCACTCAGTGGAGTGGCTTCCCTCATATTAGGACATTACTGAGGATTTGAAGTTACTTTTTCATATTGGTATAAATGGTGTGGGGCCATATCTTACCTCCTCTGGCTTCCCTATTGCCGTGAGTCAGGGCTCAGACATGCCTCTACACTCCATCCTTTACTTATTCTGACACCAGCCTGTGCTGGGTTTGACAGTTCATTGAAATGGCCACATGGAACTCAATGTGCACAACCCGGGAGGTTTATTAGGGAAGTCATAGTCTCAGAAGCTCACAGGGCCAGTTCTACCCTGTCCTATACGGTTTCTAAGTCTGCATCCACTCATTGGCAGTGAGTTTGTTTTTAATTAGGGAAGTTAATAGGTTACCACACTTCACCAGCATTCATCAATGAAGAGAGTCATTAAGTCTAAAGCTACACTTCCTTAGCCAGCAGCCAAGTCTTTATCCAGTGCTCAGCTTCTAAGCCATGTAAGCCCTTGGGCTGTCCTCCATGGATCAGGAAGTGGCCTGTTGATCTCGCTCACAGTCCCATAGCCTCATGCTGCTCCACTTGCTCCATCCCTTAGCCCAGTGGTTCTCAACCTTCCTAATGCCACTACCCTTACATACAGTTCTTCATACCCGCCCCCAAAACCATAAAATTATTTTCATTGCTACTTCATAACGGTAATTTTGCTAATGTGAATCGGGCGACCCCTGTGAAAGAGTCGTTTGACCCCCAAAGTTGTGCCCACTGGTTGGGAACCGCTGCCTTAGATTGTCCCACAGTCTGGAACTTTTGGTCTCAGCTTCCAGCGCTTCAGACAAAACTGGGAAGTGCTCTTATGATAGCTCTTCAAGCAAGGGTTTTGATGGATGTGTGGTTTTGTTTTTTAGCCAATATCACCTCAAGGAAAATGAAGGATGATGTCTTAATTCACATCCTCGAATAGTCTAATAAAATGCTCCAAAGGAAGCAAAGGGTGTGACTTGGGTCATACCCTTTACTAAGGTCAGCACTTATACACACACACACACACACACACACACACACACACACCTTTATCTTGGCCAGTACTATGGCAGAGAACTCACTCCAAAATGGAATTAGAGCCACAGGCACAGATTCCAAAATTATATATAATACATCATACAAATAATTATGGCTAGAAGGGTCATTAATTGACTACCTTTTGCATAATTCACGGTCATCCAGTTGATGTTGACTCAGCAACCCTACAAGGACAGGGTAAAGTCACCCTTTGAGTTTTTGAAACTAACTGTATATGCAAGCAGAAAGCCTTATCTTTCTCCTGCAGATCTGCTGGTTGGTTTGTTGCATTTTATTTTATTATTACTTTTTAATCATTTTATTGGGGGCTCGTACAACTCCTATCACCATCCATCCATCCATTGTGTAAAGCACATTTGTACATTTGTTGCCATAATTTTCAAAAGATTTGCTTTCCACTTGAGCCCTTGGTATCAGCTCCTCATTTTTTCCCCTTCCTCTCCACTCCGCCCTCCCTCATGAACCCTTGATAATTTATAAATTATTTTTCAATGCTGATCGCAGCCTAGTATGTCACCACTATGTCAACAGGGCTGGGGCATATTTCAGAGTTTTGTTAGCTTGGGTCCACAAGGAACCCTGGTGGTGGCATACTGGTTATATGTTGGGCTGCATTCTTTAGGGTCAGCAGTTTGAAACCACCAGCCACTCTAAGTGAGAAAGATGGAGCTTTCTACTTGAAACAATTACAGTCTAGGAAACAAAGGGGACAATTCTATGCTGCCCCATAGGATCAATATGAGTCAGCATTGTTTCGATGGCAGTGAGTTTGGTTTGGTTATATCTTGAATTCACAACCAACACTCATGGAAACAGCAGAGATCCAAAGATAAGTTGCATTAGGTAAAACTGCACAGTACCTCTTTATAGAGTATTGAAAAGCAACGATGTTACTTTGAGGCCTAAGGTGCATCTGGCCCAATCCATGATAGTTTCAATTACCCCGTATGCACTTGAGAGTTGGCCATTGAATAAAGAAGACTGAAGAAGGATCTATGCATTTGTATTGTGCTGGAGAAGAATATTGAAAGAACCAGGGACTGCTCAAAGACAAACTGATCTATCTTGGAAGAAGTAAGGCCAGAGTTTTCCTTAGAAGCGAGGATAATAAGACTTAGTCTTACATACTTTTGACATGTCAAGAGAGACCAGTCCCTGGAGAAGGACATCATGCTTGGTAAAGTGTCAAGGCAGCAAAAATGAAGATTAACACATGGCTGCAACAGTGGGAGCAAACATTGGATAGTGAGGATGGCCCATGTTGGTACAGTTTCGTTCGTGGATTGGAACTGACGCAATGGCATCTAACAACTACATGTTTACCAAGGGCTATTTTCAAGAGTTAAGTAACTAGGTTTGTGGAAAAAGGCATTCTTTTCTCCAGATATGTGGGTAATGAAAAGACACGTACTCTTGTATATCTTAAAATACTGACTCTTCTCCGAAGCTGGCCATGCAATCAGATAATTTTTAAAACGTATGCATAAATAGGATGTGTGGTAGAATTTTTAAGTACTGCACATTTGACATTGCGCAAGTACTTAAGTACTTTTTAAACTGTATAGGCTTTACTCAATTTACGTATGCTCCGAAGCTAATTAAGGACCATCCCCTCCCA